TTGCCAAGGAACGTGGATGCCCACAGGAGCCGGGTTGGGGGCAGGCTCCCAGTCTCATTCCCACTGCCCCTGGCCTGGCCTTTGCTTTTCAAAGCTCCCCACCCCACTTCTTCCATGTAGGGCAGAAAGCAAGGCTGGGGCTGAGGTCTGGTGGATGGTTCTCTGGGCACCACCCTGGGTAAGTCCTTCCCAAGGTAGTACCCCCAACACCCCTGGCTCCTGCACTCCTTAGATTGTGTGCCCAGAGCACCGGGCTGGCTTCACCTTAGTCCTGGTTCCATCAGAAAGATAATCTTCTCCGGTAACACCCACGGAGCTCTGACTGCAGCCTGAGACCTACCAGCCGGCCACGGTGACAGGGCGCAAGCCCCCAAACCCGTCTCACCCCAGCGCCTCTGCTGCCAACAGAGCCCTGCGGTCATCGCTGGTGCTGGTGAGGAGCAGGTGCTCCTGATGCCACCTCCGCTTTGGCCAAGCCCCTCGCTGGGGCTTGGGAAACAAAGAGGAAGTGGGTCTCCCCCCCACACACACCTCCTTCCATTTCCTGCACTCCTTGCAAGAGCCACTCCTTCCTCCCCAAAGCCCCCTGGGCTTTGTTCCCGATTCTTCCTTATAAGGGTGCCTGGGTGAGTGACAAGCTCCATCTTTCTCACCTGATTTAGAGAAGGGTCTGCGTTAAAGACTATTTGGGGAGAACCATAATTGCATTGCTTTGGAGTAACTGCTAACAAAGTATTTACAAATAAACGTCCCTGGGGGTATACTTTGGCAATTAGCATGGCTATTTGCATGCAAACTGTTGCTCCAATGTCTAAAAAACACTTTTGCTCTTAAGTAGATTAAACAAAAGCTCTCCAATCTTATTTTCTCAGTTCTTTGGCTGAACAATTCTTTTCAGGCAAGATTTTGATAGAAGCCAACTCAGCGCAGCCCAGAGACACGCCTTCTGAATTCTGCTTATGTGGGGTGCAAGTGGATGAGGCCAGACATTCCTCTGGGCACCCCACTTCCTGAAGAGCCTTGGTGTGTCTCTCCTGCAGGGCACCCCCAGTGCTCCTGGCTCCTATGCAGATCGTGGCACCAGGCAATGGTCACTCATGGATACCAAGACCCTTAGCAAGGGCAAGTGGGGGAGTTTCAGGAAAAAGACGGAGGAGCTGCAGCCTTTGGACAAAGGGAGGAAAGAGACCTACAAGAGAGGGGAGGGGGCCTAGAAAATGAGTGGCTCCCTAAGGCAGGAGACAGCATTTAGCCCAGCACTTAGAATGGGATGCTTAGGTGGGGGCTTAGGTGGGGAGGGGCTGATGCTTATGAACTGGAGAGAAGACGGTCCTGAACTCCAGCCTCGTGGCCTCACTGTGGGTCTTCAGCCCTACACAGAGAAGACAAGGATGATTCCAGAAGTCTTGGCTCTGGGGCCTCTGCCACCAGCTCTCTGGCTGGACAGGTGACTGCTGGTGGCTGACCAGGAGGTGACCAGAGAAATCCAAACCTTGATGAGGTCTGGGAAACCCTGCAGGAAAAGGAGAGGGTGGGAGAATAACAGAATAACAGGATCAGGAGAAAGATGACAGAGGATGTGGATTTTTTTTTTTTTAACAAAGACGTCACCCCAGTTGCTATATTTTAAGTGCTTATGCAACTGAGCTCGGAAATCCTCATTAAGGTTTATGAGGCAGTTACTGGTATTATTCCCATCTTACACACGAAGAAGCTGATGCACAGAGAGGCTAAGTCATTTGTCCAAAGTCACACAGCTAACAAGAGGCACAGGCAGCTCACAGGAGGGGCAAAGCTTTCGGTCAAGTGAAATGTGAGATGGAAGCTCCCTGTGAGTTTAGAGCAGATGGCAGAATGGCCGCTCTGGCTGGCTGGGGCTGACTTCCGTCCTCATTGATGTGGGGGATGCATTGGTCCATCTGCTGTCACGCTAACAAAACACCCGAGGCAGGCTGCTTTACCAAGAAAAGGTTTGATCTGGGAGGTGCAAGGTCTAGCCTGATCTACTGACGGCCTTCCTGCTGCCGAGTCTCCAGCAAGCCAGGACAGCAAAGGACAGGGCGGGGGGACCGGCACTGTAACACAGTGGGTTAAGCCACCTCCTGCAACACCCCCACCCCGCATCAGAGTGCCGATTGAATCCTGGCTACTCTGCTTCTGACCCAGCTCCCTGCTAACGCACCTAGGAAAACAGCAAAAGTAGCCTAAGTACACAGGCCCCTGCCACCTGTGTGGGAGACCCATATTGAGTTCCCGGTAATGTAGGCAGGCAGATAGGATCAAACTGATTAGATTTGTGAGCTGGAAGACCCCTTGTGTGACCTCATGCCCCTACCTGACCCCACCTGTATGTCCACCTGCCCATCAGGCTACATAGCCACACCCCTTTAGAAGTGGATAAAAGGCCTGAAACTCAGTGGGCCCAGCCCTTTTCCCCTTTTTCGCCATTATGGACCTTTGTTGCCCTTGTTGTCCCGGGCCTTTGGGGCACGTGGTCTTCACACCGCCTGCGCCCTCTGCCTTCACTTCACTGTCTGTGATAAGCTGCTGGCAGTAGCTGCTCATAGCCAAACACTTGCCGCACGTGGCTCTCGGCCTACTCTCTGCTCGGTGTGGATCTAGCTTGCCCTTTCTTAGCTATAACCCTCACTCTCCGATGCATATCTCTCACTGAATATAAAGCTTAAAAAGTTACCATGTCGTCTGGTCTACTTGAGCCAATTTTCAGAATTCTTCTCTGAATTCATGGCAAGAACCCTCAAGGCTTATTAATTTCAGGAATATTAATGAGCAAATCAGTATCACAGGCTCCTGGCTTCAGCCTGGCCCAGCTCTGGTCATTGAAGCCATCTGGGGAGTGAACCAGAGGGTGGAAGAGCAGTCTCTCTCTCTGTCTCTCTCCCCCTAATTCTGCCTTTCAAATAAATAAATCTTTCAAACAAAAGAGATAGACAGCAAGTGCTTGTGTCAGTGTGTTTCTCTCCTTGTGCTTAGAAAGCTCCCAGGATTGAATCCAGTCCTAGCCACTCCCCAAAGGCCCCGCCTCTTAACTCTGCTGTCCCACTAAGTAGCCAAAAGTCGCCCAGGGCTTTCCTCCATTATTAAGTGTAAACTCAGTAAAGGGACAACAGCTGTGCCCAAGTCCATGGCAAGCTGAAGGAAGGACACACTTTGTCTGTGCTCACACGGCAAGCTGGTGTGGACCAGGGACCAAGGAGTCGTTCCTGGATGAAAAGGAGCCTAGAAACATGCTGAAGGCGACAGACTGAATTTCAGTTCATCTTCTTGGGACAGGGCTAGGGATTTAGATGTTCGATGACCTAAAATAAACGAGTTAATAAGAACGTATCAACCTTGGCTCATCAACTGCGACCAACGCCTCACAGGAAGGCAAGATGCTAACAACAGGGAAGTTCTCCTTCCGATGCTCTTGGACTTAGAGGCTTAACTTACAACCTTTTGACCTTTCAATGGTGCAAAGGCGATTTGTGTTGTGTAGGCGATTTGTGTTGTGTAGAAACCCTGCTTTGGAGTAGATCTGGTTTTTTCCCAGGCTGCCAGCACGCTGTAGGCTCCTCTCTCATGCTCCTAGGGGGCGACAGTGAGCCCAGCCCGCAGTCAGCCCCGCCGTCCCGAGGGGAAGCCGCCAGCTGTGGTGGTGCTGAGCGAGGGTGCCTGGCAGGTGACGGGTGTTAAACGCACCTTTGACTTCAACAATATTTTCTGCTCACCAAGGTTTCAACACAACACAGCCCCGTCCTAAGTCAAGGAGCAGCCGTGCTTAACCATCATTTTTCTGCAAACCTAAAACTGCTCTAAACAAGTTAAGTCTATTACTTTTTTGAAGTCCTTCTGTGTGGGTTCTGTTGCATTTATCGAAAGAAAGAAAGCCATTTTTTTTTTTTCAGTTCACTGAGCCCATCAGCCCTTGGACAATATGGAGTAGGTAAGCGTAGGCTCCTAGAAGGAAACAGAAATCCACAATCATCACTGAAAATCAAGTTCATTCTCTTCTACAGAGGAACCAAGGAGCCTCCCAGAATGAATACACAGGACTTTCCAGTTGGAAGTTGACCAAAAACTGGGACCGCTCCTGCTATGGTCTGGATGTGTTTTGAGTGTGTTCAAGGCCTCACAGGATGGGAGCTTGGTCACCACGGAGACAGAGTGGCCTCCTGCTGGGAGCCCCTCCCCGACCCCGTCAATTGGGAGCATTGTACCCCAGTCTCTCTTGGGCTTCCTGTCCTGCAGTGTGATTTTTGCTCCCCAAAACTCCTATCATGAGGCTCTCATTAGAGGCCAGATTGATGGGGCTGGCTCATCTTGGGCTTTCAGCCTCCAGCACTGTAAGGTCTTAAGGAAACCTCTCTTCTGTATAAAACGCCCGGCCTCTGGTATTTTGTGATAGTAACAGAAAGCAGACTGAGGTGTTAGGCTTGAAGATCCAGAAGTGAAGTTTAGGAAACAGATCAGTTAGGTGGTTGATCTTTAGCCACAGAATGGACTCTTAGAAAGAAAGGAGAAATAGAAAAGCAACAGGGGCTGGCACTGTGGCATAGCTGGTAAAGCCACTGCCTGCAGTGCTAGCATCCCATATGGCGCCAGTTTGAGACCTGGCTGTTCCACTTCCAATCCAGCTCTCTGCTATGGACTGGCAAAGCAGTAGAAGATGGCCCAAGTCCTTGGCCCCTGTACCCACGTGGGAGACCTGGAAGAAGCTCCTAGCTTCGGATCGGCGCAGCTCCAGCTGTTGCGGCCAACTGGGGAGTGAACCAGTGGATGGAAGACCTCTCTCTCTCTCTCTCTCTCTCTCTCTCTGCCTCTCTATGTGTAACTGACTTCCAAATAAATAAATAAATTTAGAAAAAGTGACAAGAAGGAGAAGGAAGAGAGGGAGCAGAGGAGGCAGAGGAGAAGGAGGAGGGAAAATGGCAAAAAAGGGATCAGATGGGGCCAGGACGCTGGGTCTGTGTAGAAACAAACACCTTGTGCACGTGAGGTGTAGTTAGCAATGCAGTTCATTTTTATTAGTTATAAATAAAGTACAAAAAATCCACCAAAAGTGAATCTAAGCATTTACACAATTCCTAATGTCTCCGCCTTTTCATTGATGCACTATTGCTTTAATATTCATAATAAATATTCTTCTAGCTTTCTGCTATAAAATAGTCTATGTAGCAAAATGTTGCACAGCACAACAGAACAGAACAGCAGGAGGATTACAAAAAAGGACAATCAACACTGAGGATAATCCTTTCACTTGCCAGGGGCAACCCAATGACCCCTCAGCGGCCTGGTGCAGCTGACTCCATAGCTGAGAAATGAGCCATACCCCAGGCCTGCCGTGGGGCTGGGATACAGGGGCAGGTGGGGGAGGAAGGCTTGGGGACAGGAGGGGCACGGGCCAGCGAGGGCACAGGGCCCCTTCCCGCTCAGAGCAGCGTAAGGCATGCCCATCCAGGAGCCTTGCCATTGGGCAGTGGGACGGGCTGTCTGCAGGGAAAGCAAGGCTCCAGTGTGGAGGCAGCAGGGGCAGCTGGGTAGGCAGTAGGCAGGAAGCCCACGGCAGGGCCGCGATGGCCAGGCTGGAGCAGACCTCTGGCCCCGCCAGCCATGCGAGCCCAATGGAGCAGCATGGGGAGCCTAGGTCTCCTCTTCCTCACATCAGCACCATTCCCAAAGAGCCTCCCATGGGGGTGGGTTTCCCCAGCAGGCAAAGGCAGGGATGTCGAAAAGCAAAAAAAAAAAAAAAAAAAAAAAAAAAAGGAGAGGATGAGAGTTCTGAGCTCGAAAGTCGAAAGGAAGGGAAGAAGGAAGGAGAGGGCGGGGAGGCAGCTGCAGGGTCACCACCCAGTCCACGGCTTCTCCCTCTCCTCCTGGCTCAAAGGCACTGGGGCTCATTACTGTGCCAGACTTTGATGCCCCCGTTCGCAGGCTTCTGCATCCCTGCATCGCAGGGGCAGTGAGTCCGGAGCCCTCTGTCCTCCACAGAGCAGAGGCAGCGGGGAAGGCGATGGTGGGCAGGAGAGACCAAGGCTCCTACCACCGTGTCCTGTCATCGGCAGACCCAACAACAAAGGTTCTAGGAGATTCAGGGGGCAGGGGCCAATCCCAGACACCACAGCTGGGGCTTCTGCCTACCCCGTCCCCACGGGCTTCAGCTCGGTTGTCTGGGGACCACCCCAAGCTTGTGAAAGGCCGAATCTCATATCCAGGGCCTCCCTGTCACCTGCAGGAATCTGCATTTAAAGGGACAAAAATCCTTCCTCATGTCTGCGCTAAGCGCATCCGCTGGATAAATTCTCAGCCTGCTTCTCTCATTCTTTCTCCCTCTCTTCTCTCTGAGATTGGCTCAGCACAGCCCACCTTCCTCCTCCCCACCTGGAAAACTGGGGCCCAAGAAGGCCAAGCGCCTGGTTCAAGGTCACAGGGAAGTCAGCAATAGAACCTACTTAGCTTCCCCAGTCCAGAGCTCATGCTAATAACTCAGGCTCTCTGCTTTCCAGGTCCTCCTGCTGGGTTCTCGTTCCAGAACCAGAGAAGGGCGGAAGCTGGGTGCAAGTAATGACCGCTAGTGCATCCCGGGGAGAGAGGCTGGGTGGGCAGAGGTGGTGGAAGGGCGAGGGGAGGGGGGAGCAGGTTCACAAGGGGGAGGAGTGCCAAGGGTAGCAAGTGAAAGGATTACCCCAGTCTGCTGACGAGTGCAAATCATATTCATATATGTGCTAAATACAGTCACTATATTGGAGTTTTTTACTAGGTCACAGCGTACAGAATCAAAGGTTTGCATTTCGTATGGAATGTATCCAAAGAGGCCAGCACCACAGTAGGACAGCTTGCAATCACACACCCTGATAGTTCGGACGAAATAAAGTTCGTGGAATTTTATTTAAATTTTTTTGTATTCATAGTTGTTTGTCATCGTACCATTGCATGCAAAGCATTCCACTCCCAGAAACAACGCCAAAATGAGGTAATAGGAGTAATAAAAAAAATTAGTATCCTTTCTAAATAAATAAATTATAATTAAAAATGCAAAACAACTATAAAAATAATTAAATAAGAACCCACGATATCTACAAGTTAGTCATAAATTATGATTGTTAAATATAAGGCATTTAAACTCACAAAACCCTGTAAACTAGCAACGTGCCATGTTTTTTGTTTTTTGTGTTTTTTTTTTTCATTTTTGTTTTTCTATCAGCTGAAATCGCTCTAGCATTTGCTCTACGCGCGCAGGAGATGAAACACGAGGGGACCTGACAGACGTTGCTACAGCCCCACGCGGGGAGTGTTTGTCCCGCCAGCAGGCGGGGGCTTGGGGGATTTTTTTTCAGGAAAAAAAAAAAAAGTCTGGTGCTTTTTTTTTCACCATTGAAAAAACTGTGCTTGTTCATTAGGCGTAGAGTTAAGAATACTTGCACGGAGGCCGGGAACATTTGCAGAAGAGGAGCTGGAGTTATGCCACCCTGGGCAGGGGTGACAGGGCGCCACTGGGGGTCCTGGCCAGGAGGGGGAGCCCGCGGCCCCGCCCACGCTCTGTCTGCCTCCAGCCAGGCTCACCGCGTTGGGTTGATTGATTGGCGTCCACGGTGGACCCGCTGCAGCCATGGCTGCTGTTAGGAGGCCCAACTTGAACCCTGGGGCCGCTCTCGCCCCAGAAGGCACTCATGCGTCCCAGTCAAGAAGGGGTCTGAGTCCCTTGAGTTGAGCAGAAGGAGGAGTATGGGTGGTGTCCCCTCCTGCAGTGGTGGATGTGAGATGCTGAGGCCGGATCCTGCCTCTTCTCCACGCCCTGGAGCTCCCAGACCAATGGGGGTGGGGGGTGCGCCTTGAGGGAGCAGAGCCCGAGCTTGCTCCTCTCTTCCCACCCAAAGGGCTGCATGGCCGAGGGAAGGGGCAGGGGAGACTCTGAGCCCACATCCCCTCCAGTCCCTGCCTGCAGGGTACAAGGGCCCCAGAGAGTAGGGCATGGGAGAGGGCCTCAGGATCTGCTTATCCCCCGCCCAGTCCCTAATGTTAGCCTGGGTGCCCAGGGAGCCTGCAGAAAATTGGGAGGGAGGAGGAGACCCGGTCCCACTTTCTCACTCACATGGTGCCCTTGGCCTCTGGCACAGGTGTCTGTGCCCAAGAAAGTCCTTTTGCACAGCCTCGTTGGCACACAGCTCTACTGACTTGAAAGAAGATGCGTGGGTGTCAGGAGAACCCAGAGTGTGGGTGTTGGAAGGAAGTTTAGCAAGCAGCCAGTCCAACCTCCTTGTGTCACGGCTGAGGAAACAGGCCCAGAGAGACAAGGGGAGTGGTCGGGTCCTAGCCTTGCCCTCGCTGTCAGTAAAGAGCCAAGGCTAGAACCTAGGACACCAGCTCTGGTTCCATCCCTGTCTCCTTCCTGCCTTCCTCTGCTGGGCAGTGTTTCAGACCAGCCTCGGAAGCAAGCAGGCTGGGCTAAGGTGGTGTGACCTCCCCACACCATCCCAGCTTCCTTGAGGCCAGTGTCATCTTCTGAGGTCCTGGTCTTGACCCAGCCACTGGGGAGGATGAAGGAGAATTCCCAACTTCCTGTGTCTGTTAGCAACTAGCTTCCCCCGAAACCCTGGCTCAGCTGCCCTCTGCTCTCTGCCTGCAGCCCTGGGGACAGCGTTCACACGCTACCGTCACTGAATCGGACAAGGTAATGCTTGCTGGTCCCAGCCCTGACTCTGAGATTGTTCACGTTTTTGCACCCCTGGATGCGGCAGGTCTCCCCAGCTAGACTGCAAATGCCTGGAGGCAGGGACATTGTCTTCCTCGAGCTGTCTTTCCCAGCACCTGCCCCGGCAGGCACTCAATAAAGATTTTATGAAACACCAGGATACTGGTGCTGGAGAGACGTCCCTCTGAATGCTGTTCAGCGTAGCCTCCTGTCGAGAGCCCACCACCTGTGCCTGCAGATGTGTGCTGCGCCAGCCGTGTGACAAGGCTCTGTCTCAACCCTAAATGAGCTCCCTGTCATTTGGTACCCTTGGATCCTGGTAGCAGTGATACAACTGAAACTTCCTTTAGCACAAGAATGTCTTCCTATACGTGCTAAGTATCCCCAGTCTTACCGATAGAAGGGCTTTGAGACTGGGCTAGGGGTTGAGGGCAGCGGAAGACCTTGAAGGCAGTGCAAGCCAGGGGAGAGGAGGAGGCGGGTGATGGGCACAGGAAGATCCCAGAATTCCCTCTGGCCTGGTGTTCTCCACGTGTGGATGAAGAAAGTGGTGTTTGAGTGGGAATCTGGTGGGTTTTCCCTCCCCAGTCTTCCATCATCCCATCTCTCTGCTCTCTTTGGGGTTCAGAAAAATCGTTGCGGAGGTGGCGGTGCTGAGACACACTGTATATTGTCCCTGGGAACTTCGCCCGTTCCTATACTCTGGGGGGTTCCCAGGACTAAGCACAGGTGTGCTGGGCAGAGAGCAGGAATCCTCACAAGGCCTAGGTGAGGTAGCGGGAGCAGAAAAGGGGGGTGCACTGGTGTTTCTCCCCACTCGAAGGAGAAGGAAGCTGAGGCACAGAGGAAGAAAGGAACTGGCCCAAGGTTATTGAAGAATCGGAGAAGGAACAAGAGGCCAGGGACACGGGGCTCCCCGACTCAGCCAGCATGGTCATCTCCGAGGGACGGGATCAGGACATCTCGGGGGTAGCTCCGGTTCCCCCTCAAGGTCCATGGCGCTTGACCTCGGCCCTGAGCGCTAGCCAAGTGCACTTTGGCCAAGACCAGTTGTCCATCACCTATGCCATCTCGCTGTGTCTCTGGCTAGTTTTTTGCATAGGGAGGCAGTGGCTACATTGCCTCTTTGTGACAGGGCAAGAGCCCGGCTAAAGGAAGGAGTCGGCGTGAGCATGGGCTCTGGCTGCAGAAGCGGAGGTGCTGCTACAGCTGGGAGCTGTGCACTCCCAGGTTCCGTGCAGAACAAGGGGGCAGCCGGGCCCGGAAAGATGAGCCCTGGGACGGGCAGCCCCCGCAGTCACCGTGAGCCCCTCACCTGCTCCGGCTCTACCTCCTCCCCTCGCTGAACCCCTCTGAGGCTCCCTAAGCCCCCGCCCGCTCCTCTTCCAGGCAGTCCACCCCATTCCCTTCCGTGCACTGTAAACATGAGAAAAACACAAGCCAAGGAAAAAAAAAAACAAAAATAACAACAAAATGAGACCCTCCCCTCTCCCCCTACCTCCCAACCTGGGTGAAAAAAAAAATCCCTTTTCACGGTAAACAGGATTTGGCTTTTTTTTTTTTTTTCACCTTGGATTGCTTTTTCCTCTCCTCTCATAAAGACAGGAAGATTGGGGCTGTCGTTGGTTGGTTCAGTCAGGCACCAAAACAAGAAACTCCATGAGAAATATTTGGTGCGGATTCGGAATAGCGACATTGTCCACCACAAGATGACGAGAGCACCACACACGACATTTCTTAAGCTAACATGCTCCGGCTGTCACCCACAGAAATAGCTAGAGACCCCTACGTGATTTCTACGTGGTCCAGAGGTATATACACAGTCCCACGGAGGAGGGGATCGAGGGGCCGCTCTGTCAGCTAGGACCTCCGGGCTCACAGCTAGGTTCCCAGCAGCCTGGGTGCCCCCTTCCCACCCCGGCTCTGGGCACGGCCAGCTCCCTCCCTCCCACGCAGCTAGGAGGATGGAGGCCGGTGCCCTTCTGGATGGCGGGGGGAGGGGAGGGGGGAGGAAGGGGAGTCCTCCCCACCCCCTGCTTTCCCTCAAACACGGATACCACCAACTCCTCGGTCCACAAAATGTGCTTGCAGGTTTTTCCTCTACGTCAAATGGCTCAGAAGGCAAAGTTTGGCTGCAAGGGCTATGGCCGTGGGGGGGCCTGGTGAAGGAAACAGGGTGTCCACTGGCTAATTCCTCCCTCAGCTGTCGGCTCCCAGTTGTGTCTCAATGTCCACTCGGCAGATGGGGCATTTCTTGCTCATGGCGAGCCACTGGTCCACGCACAGCTGATGGAAGAGATGCATGCAGGGCAGACGTCTGGAAGAGAGAGCCCGAGTCAGGCGCCAGCGGTGCAGCAGGGCTGCGCCAGGAGTCGGGGACCCCGAGGGGACCGGGAGACACGCAACCCAGGACCACCTGCCAAAGAGAGACCCGGAAGGCCTGCTCTGGAGGGAGGAATGGTGACAAGTCACAGAGCCTCAGGATCCTCCTCCTCCACGAAGCTCTTTCGGATCAGCCTGGAACAAAGCCACGGCTTTGTCTTAGACCCATCCGAGCCAAACACCATCCTGCCCTCCTACACTCGGCCTCAAGCCCACACAGCGAGCACTGGCACCAGGCGGCTTCTCAGAGCAGCACTCACAGACCCATGCAAACCTGCACCCCTAGCCCCGGGCACCCAGCACAGTGGTCGGTCTCCAGTACCCCCGGGAGAAGGGAGAGAGTCGGTCAAAAGGGCTTCTCCTACCGCACATCTTCTCCATCCTCCAGCATAGACAGACAAATTGTGCATTTCTCATCGGTGTCCGACTCCTCCCCCTCGTCCTTCTTGCCCTTGCCGTCCTGGGGTCTTCGCTACGGGAGGCAGGGAGAGGAGGCTCGGTTAGCCGGAGCACACCCACCTGGCGGCCGGGGCTCTTGTCTTTCCCTGGAAGGCGTTCTCTTTCTAAGTTCTCCTTCCCAACCCCTGCCCCTTGCCGCTCCAGTAGGAGACCCCAAGACAGTTGGAGCCACGGGAGGAAGAGGCCACGTGGACTTTATCTTTGTGCACCAGGCACTTTCCAGGGGCACAGAGTTTGGGAAAGAACTGAGCTCCTAAGGAACCGATCCTTTGCAAAGCTGGGCCTCGTGCATGGACAGCTCCCTGTGCCCCTCGTGCTGTCCGCTGCACCTGGCACACTTCCCAGGCTGGGAGACTCCTGCCTCATGGCTTCTCCCTCCTCTCTCGGGTCCAGCAGGCTTCATTCAATCATTCACTCACTCAACTAACGCCCACTCATTTAGCCACTAAGCACTCGATGAAGGCAAACTTGGTCTCCACGCCTGTCCCTTGCACCATACTGCTAGGAATTATTATATATGACTAGATGCCTCTGCGTTTCCGGAAAGTTCCTTCAAGGTAGGCCCCAGCTCCAACATGAGGTTCGATACCATGCAGGCACTCTGTGTGTACTTGTTGATTTTAATATTCCTGTTTCTAATTCTAGGATAATTGTCTGAGAATAGTTCATGCCCCTGTAGAAAGTTTCAAGTTCTCGAATGGTGTGGGCAATGGCTTCCCTTCTTGACACACCGCCCCACACTTGGCCAAGTGGCAGGCACCTCACTGCTGCTTAGTACATATCCTGGAGAAGGAATCTAAGCAGTGCGTGAGATCAGCCCATCAGAAGTTCGCGTCTCCGTACTGTGCAGTCAAATAGTCTGACGATAAGCATGGGAATCGAACTGCCTGTGCTAGCCCCTCTCCGGGCAAGTGGACTTAAAGGCCAGTTTGCAAAGAAAGAAATGCAAAGAGCCACAAAAGGAGTTCCACCCAGAGATGCCCTTGGTGCCAGGCTCAGACGCCAAGTCTGCCTACTCTGGTCCTAGCTTGGAGTCCCTGGGCCTGATGTAATTTGGGGAGTACGACAACCTTGCTGGAAAGGACAAGACCAACGCTTCCTTCTGCTCTCAGCCTCACCGAGCCCTATGCACTGCACTGCAAACCACGCCACACTTCTGCAGTAAGTTTCCCTTGTCCAGAATTCAGGAAGTCAGAATCACTTCTATAGCCCCACGTCATTTTAGGGATTTCAACTATGATGATGATTTGCCTGCTAAAGAGTTTAGCTATGCTTATTGGAGGAATGGTCTTCTCCTAGTTGGCCATGCTAAAGAAAAAAAAAAAAAAAGAGGAAGTCTAATGCAAGACACCATCAAGACTCAGCCACTTGCCTGCTTCCTCTTGATTTTCCTCATCAGTATTCCTGATTGCCTCTTACTTAGTAGTTTCAGCTTAACACTTCCTGGTTTGCCTATGTGCAATTGTTATTTCTTTAAACTGTTTTCCCTTTCCAAGCCTTATCCTAGCTTCTATTTTGTATTTTTAATCTTTTAGATCTTTTCCTCTCTTTTCAATATTTATGCAACTTTTTTAACTTTAAATTCTTTTAGCATGTTATTTAATATATTATTCTTCTTGCCATTACTTTCTCACTTTGTTAATTTTCCTTTTTAACTTTGATGTGGGGCCAGCGCTGTGGCGTAGTGGGTAAAGCTGCCGCCTGCAGTGCCGGTATCCCACATGTGTGCTGGTTTGAGTCCTGGCTGCTCCACTACCAATCCAGCTCTCTGCTGTGGCCTGGGAAAGCAGTGGAGGATGGCCCAAGTCCTTGGGGCCCTGTTCCTGTGTGGGAGACCCAGAAGAAGCTCTTAGCTCCTGACTTCAGATCGCACAGCTCCAACCATTGCAGCCAGTTGGGGAATGAAGCAGTGGATGGAAGACTCTGACTCTCTCTCTCTCTCTCTCTCTCTCTCTCTCTCTCTCTCTCCCTCTTTCCCTCTCCCTCTCTCTCTCTCTCCCCCTCTCTCTGCCTCTCCTTCCCTCTGTGTGTAACTCTTTCATACAAATAAATAAATTTAAAAAACACTTTGATGTTTTTGGTTTTAATTTTACATGCTATTTTCAAATCTTTTCCCAGTTATTCTTTTCATATATTTCTATTCTGAGTATATATAGTTTTCTGTATTTTTATTCTTATATCATTTTAATTTTCACTTAGTAATGCACACTGAAGATTCCTCCATGTCTTTTCATGGCCTGATAGCTTATTACTTTTTATCATGGAATCATATTCCATTTTACAGATTTACCACGTTTCATCTTTTACCTATTGAAGGATATCTTGGTTGCTTGAAAAGTTTTTCATTTATTCTCATTTAAAAATGTTTTTAAAATCTCAGATTCCTAGGCAGTAACTCTGGAGAGCCTACCTCTGCAAGCTTAGGATAAAGCCTGTGTGGCTCTGTGGCTTTAAAAGCTCCCCAGATAATCCTGATGCACAGTCAGGTACATGCAAACTCCTGCTTGGACTTGGAATTCTTTTCTAAGGCAATTCCAGCCTTCTGTGCAGGACTCCCTCTTGCTGACCTCACTCAGATAGAAACATTTACCTGCCTGCACACCTACACGTGCACACATACACATATGCTCACTAACACACACAGTGTGCACTCACACACGCAGCCCTTCTCCTTTACTGATGAGAGGCACCTCTTCTTCTCTCTTGACCATACCTGACGCAGGCAGGTAAGAAGACCCTGGAAGGGTGTCACAGCTTCTGGACGGTGGACTGTGCCCCTCTGCAGACAGCCAGGCCAGGCCAAACAGACAAACGGACCCACAGCCCTCTCCCTCTGACTGTAGGACTAGGCTTCTGGCAAACCCACCTTCTTGTACTTGTGGGGGAAGGTGAACCTCTCAATGGTGTTCTGTACAGCTCCCCGAGTCACGTTTCCCAACCTGTCCTCGAGCTGAAGTAGCTCCTGCAAACAGCAAAATACGGACGTGTGTACTGAGCAAATGCACAAACACACAATAAAGACGAGGGGCCCTGGAAGATGCCAGCAGGAAGAATTTCTCTGAGGCTGGAAGGCTGCAGTATCTCTACACATGCCCTCTTCTGATTTCCTACATTTACCCCTGGGGCTTCTGCCACCCATGTCCTACCCACCAGCAGGAGGAGGGGAGACAGGATGATGAACCATCACGTCATCTCCATCTACAAGGTGGTGCCCGACAAAGCAACATACCTCGTAGCTCTCCCGCACGGCAGAGGTGTGTCTGCTGGGATTTAGTCCCTGGAGAGCAAGGAAGTGAAGCTGAGGGTAAGGGTAGTTTCGAATTTCATGGACGACCTGTTGGAGGGAGAAAGTGCTTTGGATAGGGCAAGGATTCCAGGCTGCTGGGTGAGCCACGCATGCTACTCCTCCTCCCACAACCAGCAGCCAGCACGCCCTGAGATGCTGCAGGCAGAGGGGCGTCTTTCCTGCTCTCGTGTCCCCTGCTCCTTATCTAGAGCCAAGCCTGGGGGGCAGGCATTTAGCTCAGTGTGTAAGATGCTAGTCAGGACGCCCACGTCCCCCATTGGAGTGTGTCGGTTCTGTATCCGACTCCAACTGCCGACCCCAGCATCCTGCTCTGTCTGGCTCCCAGCTTGTACCCATCCTAGTTCTGGCCATTGCAGGCATTTGGAGAGTGAACCAGTAGACAGGAGGCTTTTCTCTCTCTCTCTCTCTCTCTCTCTCTCTCTCTCTCTCTTTCAAATAGATAAAATTTTTTTAATGAGGTAAAATTGGACACTTACTTCATGGCAGCCCCTGTTCTAAGCCCATCACATGACTGACTGAATTATCTTGCTTGATCTAAAATGCAGGTGCAATTTCTATCCCATTTGGCTGATGGAGTAAGTGAGGCACAGACAGATTAGGGAATTGGCTGAGTTATGTGACCTAGAGACAGAAGCAGGCAGCTGGGCTCAGAATCTATCTCTTTAACCCCTACGCTGCACTGCCCCACTGAGCAACAAGGCCATTAAGGACTTGGGCCAGGGCCAGGGTGAATTTAAGGGGGCACTGAATAATTGAAATAAGTCATATTATAAAGCAGTATTCTTTAAAAGTCAAAATGAATGCCAAAAACGTCCACACTGAGCACAGTATCAGTATCTGAAACAAACTCTGGCCTGTGCTTGTGTGGGCCTGCCTCCGGCACCTCTCCTGATCCTGGCTTTCAGAGGGGCCAAGGTTTCCATCCTAGCCCCTGAAGCTACCACATGTCCCAGGCCCAGTTACTTAATTTCTCTATGCCTCAGTTTGCTAATCTGTATAATGGGGATAATACCCTTTCCTGTAAAGTTACTGAAAGAATGAAATGACCTCATCTATGTGAAGCATTTAGATCAGTGCCCGTGTGTGGTACACACTCAACAAATGTCTGCTTCTTTAATTCGTAGCAGGTGGTGCGTCACACACCAACCATGGAACCCTAAGCCCCTTATTATACAAACAAGGAGACGGTGTGGGGGGCCAGTGGTTAAACAACAGGGACAACGTTAGGGAGGGTGGACCGATGCTCTAGAGCAGCAAAGCACAGTGTCTGGAAATAAGATTTCCAATCGGGCTTTTGCTGCTTTAATGGACCTTCTTCATTCCATGTGGCCGGCAATGCAGGAGCCCAAAGGCCCCCACACCCAACCTGGTCCTGGGGAGGTGCTCACTCCAAGAAGGAGGTCATCGGAGGTACAAGAACCGCCCTCCCCGACGCAGCCCCGAGCCTCTCCCGCACCGAGACCACGCTGGCCACACTGCACGTTCCAGCCCAACACCCTTCCCTTGCACTTGCTGAGGGGAGGGGAGCTGGGTGGTCTGCCCAGGAGCCAGGACACAGGGGATCTGGGATACAAGACAGCCGGGGGTCCCAGGGCAGAGGGAAGCCGCAGGCCTCAGCCCACCTGGGGTGGTGGGCAGCAGGGGAGTGGGCTTCCTGGCAGAGCCCTGTCACTCACCATCTGCGTGGAGGAGGAGTTTCTGGGGAAGTGGTGCATTCGAGGAGTTGCCAGGTAATGCTGATAGTGCTGAGGGATGGGCCGCACCTGGAACTGAGCAGGACTCAAGCCGGCGTCCACACTGAGATCCCTGCAGGGACAAGCCATGGTGAACCACGGGGATGGGTTGCTATGGCCTGACAGGCTGGAAGACCCAGCCTGGCCCACCCGCACCCCTCCCAACCCCACTTCTAAAAGCACTGGAAAACTTCCACTTCAACATTCATGGGTTATATCGTAGAGGAGCAAATGGCTCATTTCACATCCGGGGAGAAAGTATGCAAGGTGAGATCGAAACATCCTATCAAACTGAGCTATCAAAACTACGCTGGAGCAGGTGCAGTGCCGTGGCGCATTGTGGTTGCCGCCTGCAACGTCGGCATCCTGTATTGGAGCTCTGGCTTGGGTCCTGGCCATGCCACTTTGTGGGGAGCAACTCGGACTAGACTGTTACTGGAATTAAGACTTATTCTATGCATCTGCTCTCCCACAATATGGCGCTGAGAAGGGAGTAACAACTTCTACGCAGCTGCCTCTCGCCAATTTGAGTGATGACCTGCAGGAGCTGATCCTGCTCCTGATTGGAGGAGAGCAGCGTACTCGGCGTGTGGGTAGCAGAGTTGGGATTGGTGGAAGAGGACTATAAAGGAGGAGAGAGACAACATGCACCAGGAACATCTATCTGAAGGAACACCTGAGGAACATCTGAGCAGCCTCCGAGAGAACCAGCCGGCGGTGTGCCGCTCCCCCGCGGAAGTGGGGAAAGTGGCAGGGGGAACCGCCCTTCCACGGAGATGGAAGGGACGGTAGCCAACCCGGGAAGAACCAGCAGCAAACCCGGGGAGGGCCGAGCAGACGAAAGAACAACGCAGGGTCCTGTGTCGTTCCTCCACGAAGAGGGGGAGCGACACCACTTCTGATCCAGCTCCCTGCTAACGCGCCTGGGAAAGCAGCGGAGGATGAACCAAGTGTCTGGGCCCCTGCAACTCATGTGGGAGACCCAGATGGGGTCCCCGGCTCCTGGCTTCAGCCTGGCCCAGCCCCAGCCATTGCAGCCATTCGGGGAATGAACCAGTAATGGAGGAACCACCGTGGAGAGGAACCACCGTGGAGGGGCTCCCAGCAGGCGGTTAGGACAGCGTGCCGTCAATAGTCAGCGTTCCATCGCTGGAATGCAAAAACAGGCGCAAATGCACGGGCGTGAAATGATGCTGGGGAAAGTGATCCTTTCAGAAGAATGCGGGGAAACCACACTTCATTTCCAAAACTAGTAAATAAAGGGAAAGAACCAAACATTTATCTTGCCGCTCCTTTATTAACTGCACTTCAGTGTAACTAGATGGTTGATGAGGGGAAGTTTCTCTCTACAAAGGTTTCCCAGCTAATAAATGAAGGCGGAATGACTGAATTATTTGTCAGCAATTTGCAGTCCCTGAGGAAATAAAGGACCTAGGCAAAGATCATCAATCGATGCCAACCTCACAAAAGGAGACAGCCGGGCACCGTGTGCCTTCCGGTAGAAGGACACACCACCACCTCTGGAGGATTTTCAGCCAGAATCCACGCTGAACCCGAGGGTGGGCACTGCAGTACAGTGGGCTAACCCCTGCCTGGGACACACGCATCCCACACCAGAGCGCCTGGGCCCAGTCCTGCCAGCTTCTCATCCAGCTTCCCACCAGTACCCACGCCGGGAGGCAGTAGATAAAGGCTCAAGTACTTGGGTCCCTGCTACCCACCCTGGAGACCTGAATGGAGTTTTTGGTTCTTGGCTTTGGTCTAGCCTAGCCCCAGCTGTTGTGGGCATCTGGGGAGCAAATAAGCAAATGGAAGATTCTCTTTCTTTCTCTCTGCCTCTCTCTCTCTCTCTCTTTTTCCCTCCCTCGCTCTCTCTTTCTCTCTGCCTTTCAAACAAAAATAAATAGATTTTTAAAAGGAGTTCAGCCTGAATCTGTTCAACCTTTGATCTAAGTGCCAATGTATAGGGAGCAGAGTTAACCCAGGGAGCATCTTAAATGATGCCACCAGAGTAAGACAAAATCCAGATAAAAGAAGCAGCCTGCTTTCTTCAACGAATACACTTATTAAAATAGAAATTAAAGGAATTTCTGCCTCCAGCTGTGATGGGGTAACAGGAATTAGATTTACTCTCCCACTGCAAGCCCCCAGAACACAGAACAGCATGTATGAAATACCTGTTTTCAGACATTGTGTCATAAGCAGTACAGAGCTGTGATTCCTGGGAGAAGGGAGACATGAGGTGAGCCCACAACCACCCCCCGCCCCTGGGATTTTGGCATAAAGATGCATTCTAGAAGGAGCAGGAAGGGGATCCGCAGAGCACGGTGGTCTCCACCACTTGAGGGCTTGTTTCAAGGAGGCTGAGGGTTCTGTAAGTTGTGCTGCAGCGTTTTGAAGAGGAGGAAGGCGCACAGACTGAGAGCTCCAGAGATCTGCATCTGGGGCTCCCTGGGTCTTTACTGAATGCAAGGCAAACGTGCAGGGGATGAAACTCCGCCAGGCGGAGGGAGCCACGAGCAACCAAGGGCTCAAGAAGGCTGCCCAGATGTTAGACAGGTTTGGGGGTTGGGACGCATTGGCATCCCAAGAAAGCAGCGTGGAGAGTCCTTGGTGGTCGCTCAGGGTCTTGAGTAGAGACCCCGGAAGAAGCTTTTGAACCTTGATTAGGGAAGGAACAGGGTGACGTTGTCCTAGCGATGTTACAGACCCTCTGAAAGGACAGGCCTGGAAAGATCACACGGAGCTGCAAGTGCTGCTTGCCCGAAACAGCCCAGCTTTGTCGAGATCAGGGCTGGGAACCTTTCCTCTCCCAAGGGCTGCTTGGATATTGACGACATCTTTTGCGGGCCACTCAAAATTATCGACTTACAAATCAGGCTGTTGTGGATGTACTGAATTTTGAGTTCCATCTGTGGTTGCCTTGGCAAAGCCAAACCACATGATTTCCTGGCCCGGAGGCTGGACGGTTCCTGCCCATGCTACATGAATCTGACAAACCTAACTCCTCAACAATGTCTGATTCATGATGTCCATCATTTAATGAAGGATTACGGGACAAGCCAAGAAAGAGAATGATATTTCCCTTAATCAGGTGAAAAGTCAAATAGTAAAAACACCTCAAGACACAGACATGACAGGAATGGTGGAATTAGCAGAAAAGGATGCTAAAATAACTATTATAATCATGCTCGAGAATGAAAGGGAAATCACAAATGGAAGAGACTTTTAGAATGACGCCAATGGAACCTCTGGAAATGAAAAATGCAATGTCCGAAATAGAAAATTCATGGCATTGGATTAGCAGCACAGTAGATTTTACAGAAAAAAAAATCAGTGGGAGGCAGCAGGTGACGGCTCCATTGCTTGGGGCCTGCCACCCACGTGGGAGACCCAGATTGGGTTCCTGGTCCCTGGCTTTGGCCTGTTTCAGGCATTTGGGGAGAGAACCAGTGGATGGACGAGCTCTCTCTGCCTGTCTCTCTCTTTCTCTGTCTTTCTGTTTTTCAAATAAAATTAAAATAGATAAATAAATAACTTTAAAAGCCACCCCAAGGTACACACTAATCAAATTCATGAATAATAAGGATTTAAAAAGGGCTCATTAGACACAGAAGAACATTGCAAAGAACATAGAAACAAAGCAAGCCAGAAAATACTGGAACACCGTCTTTACTGCTGAGGAGAAAACTGTCAATTTATAAGTCCGTGCTGAACACAAGTATCTTTCAGAATGAAGGTGAAATACTTTTTCAGACAACCCAAAGTTGAGAGAAAGTGCTGCCAGCACTTGGAATGTTAAAAGAAGCTCATCAGATGGAGGAAAGAGAACACCAGATAGAAACTTAGATCCACTCAAAGGAAGAAATAGTGCCAGAAGTGATGGCTATGTGGGAACAGAAAAGATTCCTTTTCCCCATTAAAGAAACTCTTTGAAGTTTAATTAATTGTTTGAAGTGGAAATTGGCAAGCTTTCTCTGTAAAGATCAGATACTAAATATTTTATGCTTTAAAGCCATACAATTTCTGTCCTAACAACTTGAATATTCCTTGTAGTAAAAAGGCAATCATAAACAATATGGAAACAAAGAGGTGTGGCTGTGTTCCAATAAAACTTTATTCACAAGAACAAGGAGCAGACCAGATTTGGCCCACAGGCCAGAGTTTGCTGGTTTAAAGCAGAAATGAAAGCAATTTTTTGTGATCATTATAACATAAGTGGAGGTAAAACCTACAAAATGAATAGCAAAAATGGGAGAGAGACTATGAAAATGCACGGGTCTAGTAGTTTTACATAACAAAGTGGCAGGATTCTACTTTAGGGTTAAGTGTGATAAACTAAATACGTGTATTATAAGCCTCGTGTATTTACAAAATAAAATGTTTGCAATGATTATTACATCAATATATAATCCTGAAAACACTGAACTGATCCAAAAGAAAAAAAGTAATTTCTTTAAAAATGAGACCAATGGAAAACAAAGAGCAAGATGGTGTGTTTAATATAAACCATATGGAGAATTACATTAAATGAAAATAATTGAAGCACCCCCAAGTAGCAAAGTTGGACAGCTGGAAAGCAAGAGTCAATGATATGCATTCTGTAAAAGAATCTAATTTCAAATATATAGAGAGAGATGGGCTGGAAATAAAGGAAGAAAAAGACACAATGTGCTAAGAACAAAGGAGACAACACAACTTTCCAGATCAATATTAGAAGAGGGGACATCACTACAGATTCTACAGATGCTAAAAAAACAATAAGGAAATATTGTAAACACCTTTATGTCAATAAATCCAGTGGAATGGGAAAATTCCTTGAAAGACATAAATTACCAAAACTAACTCATATAGCTAGGAAAAGCCTGAAGAGTATTCCATTTTAAAGAAATTAAGTTTGTAATTTGAAACTTGTCATGCCAAGAAATCTCCAGGCCCAGATGGCTTCCCCTAGTGGATTCTCTGAGATATTAAGATGAGAAAAAGATGTCAATCCTGTACAAACTCTTAGAAAACAGAGTAGAAAGTACCTGCCAACTCATTTAATGAAGCAAACATTGCACTGATTAAAAAAAGACAAAGACATTTCAAGGGAAAAAAATAAAGCCCCAAATGATAGATCATTATCACCCAGGAACAATGATGCAAAAGTCCTTAACAAAATTTTAGCCATTTAAATCCAATAATGAGACAAGTGACAAATCAACCAGTCACAATGTAGGAACTTTATTTGGGTCTCCATTGGTACAAACCGTACCAATCAGAGAAATTTGAACATTGATTGTGTGGGGAGCAACTCGGACTAGACTAAGTTACTGGAATTAAGACTTATTCTATGCATCTGCTCTCCCACAATATGGTGCTGGGAGAGGAGTAAACAGCTTCTACACAGCTGCCTCTCACCAACTTGACAAGCTGCAGGAGCTGCTCCTGATTGGAGGAGAGCAGCGTACTCGGCGTGTGGGTAGCAGAGTTGGGATTGGTGGAAGAGGACTATAAAGGAGGAGAGAGACAACATGCACCAGGAACATCTAAGGGGAACATCCGGATAACATCTGAGCAGCCCCCGAGAGAGCCGGCCGGCGGTGTGCCACTCCTCCGCGGAAGTGGGGAAAGTGGCAGGGGGAGCCACCCCTCCACGGAGGTGGAGGGTCGGCAGCCAACCCGGGAAGGACCGGCAGCAAACCCGGGGAGGGCCGAGCAGGCGAAAGAACAGCGCAGGGTCCTGTGTCATTCCTCTGCGAATGGGGGAGCGACAGATTGGATATTTGATTATATTAAAATAGTTTTTAATATTCTTCAGGTTTAATAGTGATACCGTAGTAAGGATTTGCACAAGAAGAGAAAATATCTCTCGAGATACATAGTGTAATATTTACAGATGAAATGACAGGATATCTGGATGTGTTTCCAAATAATAGCAAGGAAAGTCACGTCCGTGAACTCCAAGCTAAATAGTCACACACCTGCAGAAAGGCACAAGAAACAAAGAGCATGCGAATGCCTGACAGACAGCACCGCAGGCAGTGTGCTGAGTAGGTCCACACCGGAACTGGGCCCCAGCCAGCAGGACATCGCTTCCTCTTGGATGAGAAGGCCCGGTCTGGCCCTGGAAGCACCCAGACAAAGGCCAGAGTCTCAGATGGGACAACCTCAGATCCTGCAGGGGCAGAAGGGCAGGAGGCACTGAGACTTTGAGACTGGCCCGCCTCATCTCGCTTCAGGCAGACTTGGACCATTAATTGTCCATGCTGAGCCTGGCCCCTCACAGCCCCCTCTCATCGTCTCATCAGAAAAGTCCTCCCTGCACACGGGATCCCCCAAGAATTCTAGATGGGGGCGCTGCGCTGTGGCGTAGCAGGTGAAGCCCTCGCCTGCAGTGCCAGCATCCCATATGGGCGCTGGTTTGAGTTCCTGCTGCTCCACTTCCGATCCAGCTCTCTGCTATGGCCTGGGATAGCAGTGGAAGATGGCCCAAGTCTTTAGGCCCCTGTACTTATGTGGGAGACCTGGAAGAAGTTCCTGGCTCCTGGCTACGGATCGGCTCAGCTCCGGCTGTTGAGGCCATTTCGGAAGTGAACCAGCAGATGGAAGACTCTCTCTCTCTCTTTGCCTCTGCCTCTCAGTAACTCTGCCTTTAAATAAATAAATAAATATTTAAAAAAGAAAATAATTCTAGGTCAGACTTGTGCCAAGAAGACATTTGTCCCTGGAAGCAGTCCCTCGCTTTTCTGCTATTGCCACAGGCCTGTGGGCATCTGACTGGGGTTTGGGGATGGGGTGTAAGAGTTCATAGAAGTAGCCTGGGGCCTAAAGCCACAGGGCTCACCCAGATTTGTGCTCTGGGGATGTCTGTGGCCCTTGTCTCAGAGTGTACTTTTTGGTATTAGCACCTAAACAGCAAACTGAACTTGATTTTCCAGTGCAATGTTCTTGCATGTGATATGGTCTGGCTACTACACAGACCAAGTTCTCCCTCAAGTTTTTCCCAGAGAGCCGGACTGCAAAGTGCCAGCACCACCTGGGGGCAACTCTAGACTCAGGGAGCCCTGGAGGCTCAAGATCAAGGTCAGGTTATCAGGCATGGGCCAGCAGGAAGGGAGCTTGGGATGTATCCCCAAGGCCTGCTGCTTCCACACACTCTCAGGCCAGGAGGCCCAGCTGAGAGAAGCTCTTGGAAGGGTAAAGAGGAAAGGCCAGGGCACCTCAGCCCCAGGCTGGCCAAGGATCTGCAGCCAGACTCCCAGAATGACCTCGGGCAGAATTAGGGACCTCCAAGGAGTCTCTAAAGTAAGGTGAGGGGATGGGGGATGGGGAGGGTGCTGCAGAGCAGCCCCTCCTCCAATGCACTTCCTGTCACCAGGCTGCCCATCTCCTGGTGGAAGAGGCTATTTGGAGAGGAGGGCTTGGGTGCAGCGATGTGACCACAATTACAAAATCGAAAGCCCTTGTCCCCGCTTCGCTGGCCCTTGCTGGAACAGAGCTAATGGCAGGAGGGGAGAAATGTCACCTCCTGCTCCGGCAATGGCTTCCTATGTGGGAAGTGGGGACAGGACAGCAGAAAGGGCAGGGGGCGGGACTCCCATGAGACTCATGGCCTCATTCTTTAGGTTTCTTGGGGCCAGCAGGGCCAGGAACACAGAGGGCTTGAAATGAGGGAGAAGCGGGAGGAAGTCTGGCTACATGAAGAAAGCCGGAGACAGGGCTAGCCCAGGCACTACCGTGTCTCCAGGACAGTTCCGCCTGGGTCGGCTCGTTGGGCCTGTGTGTGTGTGTTCAAAGCCCTCAGCCACATGTGGGGCTCTGGGTGCTCCGTGCCCGATGAACTGAATTAGATGGAATTGACTTGACTGCTGAGGGACAGAATTTAATCCAAACTGCAATTAAATCTTCCTAATTTGAATCTGCTAATTAGAAAAGGCTGGGCTCAAGTTGGCAGTGGTGCAATTTATCTTTTAAGGGGTTGTGTAGTTTAACAGGTTGTGTAGTTTAACACGGGCAGGGGCTGGAAGCAATGGGACACTCTGTCCGTACCTGGAGGCACCCGACCTAGCATTCATGGGGGAGATCTTTTTTCCCATTTTCTAAAAAGCATTTTTGATCTAAAGGTTGCAAGAACAGCATAAAGAATTCCTAGATGCACTGCACTCAGATTCCCTAAACGTCACCATTTTACTATCTCACTGCATTTGTTTCATCCCCACATAATAACAAATACACACATGCATACATGCCTATTCACACCCACGCACACATACAAACAGATCTGCATACATGGATGCGTGTGTGCATACACATGTGGTGCACAGTTATACAATGCACATACGTACACACCCTGTGATGTAGACACACACATGCAAACAGACACAGATAGCTTTTTCCCTTGAGCTCTCTGAAAAGAAGCCGCAGGCATAATGCGCTTTCTCTCCATCCACTTAGTCACCTGCACACCACTTAAAGGACTGTGGGGTTCTGATTAGACCCTAGTGAGATCCACCGAACCAGAGAGCTGGTGGGACCAGCTCTGTGAAACCAGCAACCCTGCATCGCAGGATGACAAGTGCCTCTGTCCCCAGTAAGGGCATCGTAAGAGGACTTCACAGGGCCCTTTGCCCACAAAGGTGCATCAACCATATGTTCAACAGAACCCTCTCACCTGTTTGTCACCAGTGTTTACCTCCAACCCATCTGGGTTCTTCAGGCACAATGGGAACTGTGTGTTTACCCCAACCACCCACCCCTGGCATGCCCTGGTGCTTCCCTGTGGATCCCTCAAGAAACACTCCCTCCAGGAAGCCTTCTCTGATCACTCTGGTTCCTGGGCTTTCTCCTTTCTGCTCTTCCCCTCCCTAACCCAGGAACCACTGGTCCATAGCCCTCATTGAGCTGGAGAAATGTTTTGTGTCACTGTCTCACTCTCCCTTCTGCAAGGCCATGAACACTGAGCCCTGGGCTGCGCACATGATGCTGCCGAATTATGTTTGAGCCGATCGCTGGAACCAGGCCAGGCGAAGCCAACTGGCCCTGAGAGTGGCTAACAGTAGGGACAGACTGGGGGCTGAGGACCAGGCGGCCGACGTCAAGGTAAAGCAAACCAGGGGCTCCGTGGATCCGGCGCCCTTCCTCCCCCAGGGACCCCGATGACTCACCAGTCAGTGCCTTCAGCCAGATACCTGGGCTGAGGCGTCTGCAGTTGGTGGCTGAAGTCGAAGCTGGGGTGGAGGCGGTGGGGGTGGACAGACACGCGCTCCTGACTCCGCCTACGGAGAGGAAGGAGGGCCCACCATGTCAGGGGCTGCCTGGGTGAGCCCCGCTCCCGGGAGCTCTGAGCACCCCCAGCCAACCCCAGGAAGCTCCACTCCCGCAGACCCCAGCCCCCTCCCCCGACACTGAACCCACAGCCCACCCGGCACACTCCAAAGCAGTGCCGCAGACTGCAGCAGGCGGCAACCCAGACCTGGCCACTGTCTGCGGCTGGCCGTGGCAGCGAGGTCTTTCCCGAGGTATGTCTGCTGCAGGTGTGTCACCTGGCCCCAGCCAGGCTCTGCTCCTGCCCTGCCCTCCTCCTCCTGTCCCTCTCTGTCCTAGGTGGTTCATCTTCAAGACACACAGCTCCTACAGTGTGTCCTGCAGTGTGTCCACCTCTGGGCATGTCCTCTCTCCTGCCACGCTCTTCTCTTCCTCTTTTTCACACTCTCAGCAGCTTTCACGCCCCACATCAAAGCCCGCCTCCTCCAGGAAGAGCTCCCTGAACACCCCAAATGAAGGTACGCTCTCCTCCCTCTGACCTCCTACAGCCCTCAGCTCCTGTCCCAGGCACCAACCTCCACAAAACCATGGACACTCGGGGCCCTAGAGCACCCTTGGGGTCCCTGATACCTTGTCAGGTGGTGGGAGAGGTCCAAACCCTCTCCCGTACAGTACTAAGTCGTGATTTGCCTCTCCACTCGCCTCATCTCGCAGGTGGGCAGCGGGGATTTCGCGTGCCCTGTGGTTCTGGAAGACTCAGTGTGGAAGCAGACACAGCAGAGTGACCTTCTGTGAAGCCGTGTAGTAGAGAGAGCTGGAAATACGCTTTTTTAGAAAAAGCCTTGCAGGGCTGCTGCTATGGCGTGGCGGACAAAGCCGCTACCCCCAGTGCCGGCATCCCATATGGGCAATGGTTTGAGTCCCACCCGCTCCACTTCCAATCCAGCTCTCTGCTGTGGCCTGGGACAGCAGTAGAAGATGGCCCAAATGCTGGGCCCCTGCACCCGCATGAGAGACCCGGAAGAAGCTCCTGGCTCCTGGCTTCAGATAGGTGCAGATCCAGCCATTGTGGCCAATTGAGGAGTGAACCAGCGGATGAAAGACCTCGCTCTCTTTCTCTCTCTCTCTCTGCTTCTCCTTCTCTCTGTGTGTAACTCTGACTTTCAAATAAAGACATCAATCTTTAAAAAAAAGCCTCACTCCTCACTAAATTTATATTAGTTATTTCTCATGAATTAGATTACCGGTGCTAACATATAGTGAGCTTGCTATTTCTTAATGAATTGATGATACTTTGAAATTCCTCGGGAGTAATTTCTCATATGGCTCACATCCATCATCACAGCCCACAGAAACAGAATCTCTCTGTGGTCTTCATTGATTTTGGAAGAGTCAAAGGGTCCCAAGACCAAGAAGTCTGAGATTCACTGGTCTTGTCCAACTCTTGCCCTCGACAGTTGAGGCTGAGAGAGGCGTTGAGAGTTGCCCAGGGTCCCCCAGCTGCCCAGGGTCCCCCCCTGGTGACTGCTACTTTTACTCTCCCTGTGCTTCTTTGAGCAGGGCTGGCACCAGTCACCTCCTTTCTTTGGGGGCCCCGGGCATTAGAATTAGGCGGTCACGAAGCTGCAGGGGACAGGAGAGGTCCCCTAGTGAAAACTCCTTCCATGCAAAAGTCCACTGTGAACATCGTGGACCACAGTTCCTCAGCTGAGCCTGCGTGTGGGTGATGTGATGTCCACGCATCTTTGAGGGGGCTGCAATGGGTCAGGACAGCGCTCCCTGCCTGAAACAAACGCGTCCAATGGAGGTGAAAAGCACCTCTTGAGGGGACACTCTGGGTGAGTACTGGTCCAGCCTGACCAGAGTAGAAGCCAGGCGTCCTGGCCCGCGGCCCTGCCCCTTCCTGGGCTCCGGCCCCGCCCTTGCTCCTCCCCCCACCCCCGCATCAGCCGCAGGCTGCACCCACCTGGGGTGCGAGACGAGCCTGCGGTGCTGGGCTTCCAGGAGCTGCTGCTGCAGGAGGTATTGCTGGTGCAGGGCCTGAGGTAGGAAGGAGGGACCTGTGACGTCCTGGAACTGCAGGGTGGGCAGCGGGGTCAGCGACTGGTGCAGGGCGCCGCTGTGCTGGTGGGCCGGGGCCATGTGGGCGCTGAGGCCCGGCTGCGGCTGCACGGGGTGGGCCAGCGGGAAGTCGGCGGTGAGCGGCTGCGGCTGCGGGGGCCCCAGGTGGAAGTGGCGGCAGGAGGTAGCGTGAGGATGCTGAGACCTTTGAAAGGGGGCACCTGCGGGGCAAGGACAGAGAAGGCTGGGTGAGGACCCGCGCCCCGTGCCAACCGCGCTCTGAACTGCGCTAAGGCCGTGGCCAGCCGGACCCCACCCACAGGAAGTCTTCATGTGCCGAGAGAAGGCAGCGGAAGTCGTTTAGCATGCAGTTTTAAGAAAAAAAAATCACACAAAACATTTTTTAAAAAATCAAATAACTTATTGTACTATCATAATTTATTTAAAAGCAGACATAGCCAGGTATAAGCTGGGCTCAAGCTACATTTAATTCAGGCCGCCGTACTTTCCTAAATGCAATTGAACTTGATAACAAGAAAGCCTTCTCTGTAAGCAAAGATCCAGCCCCAGACCTTGGCGGGGGAGTTCTCTGATGAGTCCAGAAAGCAGAGCCCGCGCTGAAGAAGGATGTACGGAGCACATTCAGTGCCAGGTGTGCTCGTCCCCAACAGGAGGCCAAAGAATAAAGGAAGATAAGCAGACGAGATGCAGGGAACGGAAGTGACAACAGTCTACAGGAGACTCCGGGCAGGTGGAAAGCAGAGGGAGGAGTTAGGAGAGCTGAGAACTGGGAAACCAAGCTCCCTGCACAGGGCGGGAAAGGCCAGGCCAGGGGCTGGAACCTGAGAGGAGGGAGACTGGCCGCCGGGGGGGGGGGGGGGGGGGGGGGTTGTGGCGGTTATGCCCAGGGCTCCTCCCCTTCCCCAGGCTTGGCAGTGATTGTCCCTCCCAGAGAGGCCCCCATGGGGGATGTGCCAGGAGACAAAAACAGGCGGGTTAATCAAGAGCCTGGGTGTGAGGCCGGCGCCACAGCTCACTAGGCTAATCCTCCGCCTAGCGGCGCCGGCACACCGGGTTCTAGTCCCAGTCGGGGGCACCAGATTCTGTCCCGGTTGCCCCTCTTCCAGGCCAGCCCTCTGCTGTGGCCCGGGAGTGCAGTGGAGGATGGCCCAGGTGCTTGGGCCCTGCACCCCATGGGAGACCAGGAGAAGCATCTGGCTCCTGCCATTGGATCAGCGCAGTGCGCCAGCCGCAGCATGGCAGCCATTGGAGGGTGAACCAACGGCAAAAGGAAGACCTTTCTCTCTGTCTCTCTCACTGTCCACTCTGCCTGTAAAAAAAAAAAGAGCCTGGGTGTGGAACTTTGGAAGCCACCGTCTTCTGCCACTTGATTCCAAAAACACTGTCTCCAGTGTGTGTCCCTGCCCTGCCTGCTCCACAGCCCCAGCCTAGAGACTAGGGGGAGCTCTTCAAAGGACCAGCTGTGGCTCTCGGAAGAGAGCTGCATGTCCTTCGGGTAGGGCACACACCAAGAAAATGGCCAGCATTGAAGCAATGTCCATTGTCACACGTGCACCCAGAGCTCTGGCCCACACTTCAACACGAACACACAACCCCAGGGGACAAGTCTCTCAGGGAGGGTTACAATGTGAAAAGACATGGAACAGGGACCAGATTTTTAAGAAAACCCAGAGGAGGAGAGACAACACAAGGATGAGAAAAATAAACTTCAAAGCACTTTAATTAATATCCTCAGAGAAATAAGGTGTTGGATATGTGAAACAGCAGAAAGCTCTTTTAAAAGGAGCCATGAGGGGTTGGTGTGGTGCAGTGGGTTAAGCCACTGCTGGCATCCCATATCAGAGCACTGGAATCCCAGCTGCTCTGCTTCTAATCCAGCTTCCTGCTAATGCACCTGGGAAGGCAGCAGAGGATGACCAAGTCCTTGGCCCCTGCCTCCCACATGGGAGATCCTGGTGGAGTTCCAGGCTCCTGGTTTTAGCATGGCCCAAGTCCAGCTATTGCAGGCACTTGGGGGACTGAACCAGCAGATGGAAGATCTTTCCCTCTCTCATGAAATGAATAAATATTTTTTTAAAAAAGGAACAATAGGGGCTGGTGCTGTGGCTTTCCCTTATGGGTACCAGTTCATGTTCTGGCTGCTCCTCTTCTGATCCAGCTCTCTGCTATGGCCTGGGAAAGCAGTGGAAGATGGCTCAAGTGCTTGGGCCCCTGCACCCACGTGGGAGACCTGGAAGAAGCTCCTGGCTCCTGGCTTCAGATTGACACAGCTCCGGCCGTTGCAGCCAATTGGGGAGTGAACCAGTGGATGGAAGACCTCTCTCTCTCTGTCTTTCTCTCTCTCTGTAATTCTACCTTTCAAAATTAACAAATCTTTAAAATAAAAAAGAACAATGAGAAAATAAGAAAGAGAGCTCTTGGAAATTAAAAGCACACAGGTGTGATCTCAAATTCAACAGCAGGGTTGAAGGCAGAGCTGGGGCCATTTCCCAGGGAGCAGGATGAGAAGACAGGAAATGAGAAACAGAAGAGAAAAGATGCAGACATGGAAGGATCCGGTCAGACGAGGCCACCGGTGAGAGAGAGAGAGAGAATGGAGGAACAACAGGAGGGAAACTATAGGAAAAGATTGTGCAGGTGTCCATCAGCATTGAAGTTCTGCATAGCTACACAGACAGGACCCTGGAGTGCCCAGCAAAAGATGGGGGCAAAAACCCCACCCCCAGGCACCTCCCTGCGCAAGTCCGAGCAGGCAGCTAGATAATTCCAGCACCTTCCTGAGAGAAAGCCAACAGATCACATCCAAAGGGTCAGAAATCAGAACAGCGTGAGATTGTTCAAAAGCAACACTGGAAGCTCAAAGACTAGGAGTGACGCTCTCCAAGGCACTGAGAACACTGGAAACTCAAAAACTAGGAGTGACGCCCTCCAAGGCACTGAGAGGGGAGAATGATTTTCAGTCTAGACTTCCATGCCCAGGCAAACTTTGAATCAAGTATGATGGTAGAATAAAACCGTTTTCAAACAAGCTTGGGTCTCAAAAGAATCAGCCAAGAATGAGGAGCAGTTGACATAGGCGCTGCACCCAAAGAGGTGGGGGATTCCCAAGCACCCAACTCTGCAGCGACTTTGGCAGAGGAAAGAGCTGTAGGAAGATGAGAGAAGTGGCAGACAGAAATGACTTCCCAGGAAGGGAATGGGGCGAAAGAGGGAATTGGAAAGACTGAACTCCCACTGTCCACTGGCATTATAATGTGAGCCATTTAGGTCCTGCTAAATTTTCTGGTAGACACAGGTGAAATTAATTGAAATACCTGAATTCTGTAACTCAGTATATCAGGAATGGTATATGTCAGCAGCTACTCCACATAAAAGATCATTGACTGATATTCCTTTTTTCATGCTAACTCTTCTATATCCGGTGGATATCTTGTGCTTAAACACATCTCAGCATAGACCAGCCACATTCCCCGTTAGCAGCTTCCATGTTGGACAACACAGCTCTAAAGAAGAAAAGCCAACTGCACGCACAGAGCAAGCTTTGTGCCAAGTCCCCTGGTTGATCTGCCTTCAAAGGGGAAGCTCACCGCTGCTTATTGGTGAAATCCAAAACCCGTCACCTCCTAGCACAGCCCCGCTGTCCTTTCTCCCACTGACACCATCAAGCCACCCACAGGAGTCTGCTTGAAACCAGACACCCACGTGCATTCCCACAGGGGCCTTTGCTGCCTTCTCCCCAGCTGCTTTTCCCGGCTTCGAAGGTCTGTGTCACCTCTCAGCTTCTCCAGAAATGCCCCCGCTGCCCACCAGCCCCAGGGCTGGCCTCCTCCTCTGAGCTCCGAAGAACACCATCTCTCTCCCATGCACTCGGCACCTGGCGGTGGCTACCTTGAGCTGTCTCTTCACACTCATCACCCCGCCTGGCTGAGCTCCGTGCCTCTGCTGTTTTTCCAGATACCGCCCCCCCATACACACACACACACTCCTCGCTTGGAGCTGGCATTGCAGTAAATACCTGGGTGTGTGACTGTTGGTGGGAGGGAGGAAGAAACAGGGGCTCAGAGGGACCCAAGTACTGAGGCTGGCTGACCGCCCACTTGTTTGCACTTGAGTAGGAAAGAGAGTGGCACGTAGAGCCCAGGTGACCTCTGAGATTTCGTGCTGCATTGTGGCAGGTATGGGGCAGGTGGCACTGATCAGTTCCTTCCTCCTGCCCCAGGGTGCCCGCTGTGCCCAGGGGAGCCTGTAGGTGACACGACACAGGTCCCCTCGCCAGGAGGGGCAGCAAGAGAAAGGTGGACAAAAGTGTCTCTCTGTCCCCTGACGTCCCAGGCAATGTCTACCCGCAAAAGTCCTTTGACTTCCGGTCCGGCACTCTGCAGCCCTGCTCATCCCCATTCCCAGAGTGGCCCGCAGTTTTATCACACTGCTCAGAAGGGAGCTGAAGCCCAGAGACACCCACCCTGGGCCCCCTGGGCCTCTCCTCAGCCCCACCAGGGGGATTCCAAAAGGCCCTGGGAAGTGGGATTCAAAGAGAAGTTTATTTTGGTGCCCACAGAATTCTTTGGGAATCCGTGTATAGGGAAGGATCTTCAAAGCATTCAGGGACAAAATGCGTGTTAGGAAAAAGCTATTCATGGATTTCAATGTTTTGCACCAAAATCAACTTGGGTGTTAATTCCTCAAAGGCCCTTGGGGCCTCAGGTGGGCTCTGTGTCACATCAAGGAACCGGCTAATAGCTGCTGTGTTTGGGATCCGAGCCCAGCGAAGTGGAGCTCCCGGGGAGAGTGTGTGGCTTGTGATGAGGGAAGGCTGACCAGCGCCGGCGCTCCTGTCAGTAGACAGCCTGCAGTTCTCCCGCCAGAGTCCCTCCTCCGGTTAAAACATCATCTCCAGGCGCCTCTGCCTATGCTCTGCATCTCTCACAGCTCCCCAGGGCCACGACACCATCGTGGAAAGATTCATCATGCACTAACTCGTAGTTCCAGGGAGCAGGGAAGAAGATGCTCCCGGAAACAAACCAAGTACTTCATGCAACAAACTTCTCAGTGTAAAACTCAAATTAGTTTCAGAAGGAAAAAAAAAAAAAGAACATGCATCTAAGAATGCTAGAAACTGATGCCGAGGATTAGGGATTAGTGCCTCCTGGGAGTTGGCTGGGAGCAGGATCTAAGGCTGGGGCTGGGGCCTGAGCAAGGT